ACATTCAGCGTAGAATGACTAAATTAATACATAGCATTAGAAATCTTCCTTATGAAGATTGAAGACTCTTAAATTACATTCACTTGTTCGACGAAGAATGAGGGGAGACATGATCGAAGTGTATAAGTGGAAGATAGGTATTAATAAAGGGGATATTAATAAGGTCTTGAGGATATCTCTCCAAGAGAGAACCCGCAGTAATGGATTTAAATTGGATAAGTTTAGATTTAGAAAGGACATAGGAAAGTATTGGTTTGGAAATAGGGTAGTTGATGAGTGGAACAGTCTACCTAGTTGGGTTATTGAGGCTAGGACTTTAGGTAGCTTCAAATTTAGGTTGGATAAATATATGAGTGGGAGGGGTTGGATTTGAGTGGGACTTGCAAATGAGTGGATAGAGTTATCAGACCTTATTTCTTGGGGAGCACTGAAAATTGGGTTGGGCACATGTTTTGTTAGTAGGATGGATTGTAAAGGACCTGCCGAGTATGGGCCAACAGGCCTGCTGCAGTGATCCTCCTTTCTTATGTTCTATCTTTATGTCATCGACGAATTTGCTCATTTCACTAGTAATTCCATCTGCAAGGTCATTGATATATACTATTATAAACAACAACAGGCCTAAGACTGATCCCTGTGGAATGCCACTTGTTACAAATCCCCACTTGGATTTAACCCCATTTATGCAGTCTCTGCTTCCTGTCTGTGAGCCATGACTCGATCCATGACAGCACTTTTTCCCCAATCCCATGAGCTGCCACTTTCTTTAACAGTTTCTGGTGCGGTACTCTATCGAAAGCCTTACTAAAATCCAAATAAACAATATTGAATTCTTTATCATGATCAACGGCCTCAAAAGCTTTACTGAAGAAAACTTAGTAAATTAGTTAGGCAGGAACGGCCCCTAGTGAATCCATGCTGAGTGTCATTAATCAAATTATGCTTATCAAGATGACTTCATATATTATGAGCTATAATTGACTAATAATTTGCCTACAATTGAGGTCAGGCTTATTGGGTGGTAATTTGATGGTAACGACTTGTCCCCTGCTTTAAAAATGGGAATTACATTAGCCATCTTCCACATATCAGAAACTACACTTGTTTGAAGAGATAAGTTAAAAATATTAGTTATAGGAAGATAGAGAATCTTTTCCCGATTATAATGACACCAAAAGTATGAAATTTGATGGAAAACTTGCGGAATTATGCTCTTGCGAAGTTAGCGGTCTTGACGATGTTTATGCATCGGCGATTTCGCCCACTTTGAGCCCTATTTTCAGCCAATTCCAATGTACTAGTCGACAAAAATCATAGCTATTTCGCTAGAACTCCATTTTTCCTATCGAATGAGTACAAGAACCACTCATTTACCAATTTCAGCTATCCAAAAAAGTGGTCAGAAATTGGCAATTTTGCCATTGAGGCCGAGAAGTTGGCACTGGATGCTCACGTGACAGCAACATCGAGTCCTGCCGCTTGCAGAAGTGTTGCCAACATACCTTTTTTCTATTTTCATTTTATATAATTTTTATGTTCTGATAATTACAATTTATAGTAGTTCTTGTCATTTTATAACCAATCTTTGTTCTAACACTAGTATTAGGTACTGAAATTGTACTCACATTGTCACAAACACACTGACAGGTGGACATTTACACCTGCCTTGGTCGTTTACTATTGTCTTGGAATATATACAAAGTATTTATAGATCCCAGCAATGTTTTGGATATGTGGAAGTATATAATAATAATGAGGAGGAGAAGAATACATAATAATAATAATAGGTAATAATAAGTTCCCTTGAAGCATGAAAAACAAAGTCAACACCTGGCCAGCCGGAGCCAGCCAGCCAGCCATTGTTTCTCTTTACTTAGGGCATAGGTTATAAGACATGAAAGGGTGTTGCACATGGGTTATTATCGAGATTTTTTGATATTTCATCGACCACTTATGGCCACATCCACCTGAAAGCCACTAAACTCAGGATCAAAATTACTTACCTCTTAAAATGGAAGAGTTAATACTACATGAAACCAGTGAATCCCAGGTGTTTGCTATAGCTGGCACTCATTTGAACTGGTGCTCCCACAAGGTACTAAGCAGTCCCAGATTTTTTTTAGTACCGCGTACACTGTGTGCTAGGACCCATTCTATGCTGACAAGGCATCTCAAGTCAATCGTGCCAAATTTGAAGGCAGGAAAAATAAAACATATACGTTTGGGGCACTAGCGGTAAAAAACATACATATACGTTTGGACCGTTTATGGGTTAAGTATTAAACAACAGGAAGAGATGGTATAGAAAGAGGCAAAACACCACATATTTTAAAGATCTTGAAGACAGTATCTCAATTCACTCGATTACTTTTTGTTTTTAAGTCTTAATAAAATGTAAATCATGTTTAGATCAGGCCTATGAAAAATAAAGTCCCACAGAAACAATGAAATAATTTTACAAAGAATATGTAATTGTCCCCTCTGTGAGGAAGTGGAAAAGAATTCTTCCTCCGTAAGAGGCAACTAAAATGCTGGGAGCAAAGAGCTAGTAACCCCTTCTCCTGTATATATTATTAAATTTTAAAAGAGAAATTTTCATTTCTCTTTTTAGGTTGCCCTGCCTCAGTGGGATAAGGCTGGTTCGTTGAAAAAAAATGTAATTGTCCCCAAAAATTTGCAAATACGTACATGTAATTATATTTCTAGAGGGTCCCATAAAAACGAAATGCAGTTTTGCTTTTGTGGGACCTCAAAAACAAAGCTCTGTTCTCATAATTTTTTTTAGAATTTGTATTATTTTTATTTGTTTCAGAGGTTATATCTCCTTAACCCTTTCAGGGTCCAGAGGCCAAATCTCAAGAATTTTCTAAAAAAAAAAAAAAAATATACAGAATTAAAGATAATGTTTTTCTATAGGTAACAAAAAAAAAAAAAAAAAAAAAAAAAGCCCGATAAGTACTTTTCAAGACATAGAGGCATGAAGTTGATCCTCAATGACCAGGTGGTGGCAACATCGGTGACTTCCGTAAAGCCGCATTGTTTTATTTTACTTTTTTGTTACTTTTTTCTTTTCTAATTTTCTTTTTTTCCAGTATCGTTTGTGGCCTTTGAGACTAATATAATGCATAATGTATATATGTACACTCCTCATATTCAACACTGATATTTTCATCAATATTTTGTTTACAGTTGTTTACAAAAAACATGAAAAAATGTTGTACATTAGTAATGTTCTATTATATATTTACATATGTACAGTCATTGGACATGTTCCTAGAACTGCTGCAGTCTGTGAAAGTCTTTGAAACAAGGTGTCATGCACAGTGGTGTCTTACTCATTTGTGGACCAGTATGATTTTATATTATGCTTATAGATATGAGGCATAAGCATTATTGTTGCAAAAAACAAATACATTTCAGCCACAGTTGTTTCCTTTCACCAGTGGATGATGATGCACTTTGTCCTGAACCTGCTGAGTCAACAGCTTGGGTCCCAGTCTGGGCTGGTGCAGTATGATGCATGCTCGTGGCACTACCACCATCTAGTGATGCATGTGGTCTATCCATCCCAATTGTAGCCATATCATTGTCACTTTCACTGTCTATTCCAGGTGTAGGGCCAAGGGGTGTACTCGGTAACCTTGGAATTGTACCATATGGCATAGGGTACCATATGGTACATTGTACTGTATGGTACAGATACAAAGACCCCAATGGAAATAAGTCGCTCTGACATTTTTGGGTTATCCTAGGATCTTTATACATATGCTGCTATGTATGATAATCTATGTAACTGTATTTGTGTATACCTGAATAAACTTGCCCGAGTGAGTCGTAAGTTTATTCAAGCAGTATACACAAATACAGTTACATAGATTATCATACATAGCACCATATGTGCGGAGAAGCTAGGATAACCCAAAAAAAAGTCTGACAAATGACTTATTTTCATTAGGGTTCATGTACCATATATTCAAAATCATAGAATTCCTCTTAAGATCCACTTCCATCAGTGTTAGAACTATCTCTTGGGAAGAGGAGAGTCCCAATTCGCCAGGGAGTAAGAGCTTCCTAGCCGCAAGGCATGATGAACAAAGCGTACCGAGATGGCATTCCCACAATGCAATGCGGGTGCCCTGATTTTTTGTTTTCTGCACGCACTGACCATGCAGACCCATTCTCTTAGATGTAGGCCTACAAGCCTTCTTGCACTAAATTTGACGCCACTAGAATTTTAGCATAGATCTATGGCTTAGACTCCAGCTTCAAAGCCATAGATCTATGGGATGGACCCTAAAAGGGTTAAATCTACTCTAAATCTTCTTAATTCTGACATGAAAGAAAAATAAAGAAATTTGGATATGGCAAACCCACCGAGAACATTTTGAATGAAATCCTATTGTTATTTATCAGTACATGGGTCATGTGCCAAGCACCCCCCTGCTCTAAAAAAAAAAAAAAACAGACACCATAAAAAAATGAGTAGTCAAATTTATTAACCTGTTGCCCATCAGTATAAACATTGGATAATTTCCTCAAACTGGAAATCCCATTAATTTGGGGGTCCAAATGTAGTATGTACTTAATTGGAAAATAATTTTCTCACTCCTATAACTCCTCATTTCTATATTATCTTCTTACAAACATACTTTTGTTAAACAGTACAGTGGCTGCCAATGTAAATGAAACAAAAATAAATCACTGCTTTTAAAAGATGGTGAAATATGATCCATCAATGGTTTTGCAAACAGAAAACATTAGGGACAGCAAAACCATTGATTTACTTTGTGAATATTGTAATGCTTCAACTGTGTAACTAGCTCTGAACAATTTTGAAGTTACTTATTATTTGCAAATAACTAGAAACGTAACTATGGCATTTGTATGAGCTTTGTCAATATATCTGAGCAGCTCAGGTTATATAAAGTTATTTATTAGGTGCACATGAAATGATTTCAAACATTCAGAGAAACTTAATTGTGTTGATTAAAACTATAGTATTCATTATTTAAAATTATATTAGCATAGATTTGTTTGTACAGTTACTAAACACTTTCTGTAGGGAAAGATTAAATCAAATAAAATCTAACCTGCATCCTTCTGTGTGTTTCCAGGTAAAGATGGTCAAATTTGCAACCAACAATTCCATTTTACATTTTAGTTCTGACTCACATTTTCCAGTCTTGGCTGTTTTTTGCATTCCTCTGTTTGAGTCTCATCTTTAAAAGTACTGGCACAAAAATGTTTGAGTGGTGTCACTACATCTGGTTCTAATTTGTTTATTTGCAGAGATGCTGGCCCTGGAATTGCTTTCACGTGTTGTTCACTATGTGTTGCACTGCTGATTTTCTCATGCTCCTTCAATGGCAAAATAACAGAACCAAAGTACTTTTTATTTTCATTTTCTTTATGAAATTTATTGTCTTCCTGTTTGGGCACTGAAAAACTCTGGGTACATATGCATTTCAAGTTATCCTTGTCAGTCACAGTGTCTGCAGGAGAAACAGTTCTGTTATCATATTTATCTGTACATGCAAGTATCTCCTCTTTACCTAAATCTCTTGTTAAAGCTGTATTAAAATCTCTCTTACAAGTTACACATGAATGGCAATTATTGGTTGACTGAGCAGATGAGATATCACTTTTGTCCTCAATTTTACTTACTGGCAAATAAGGCATTTCACATATTCTATTGACATTTTGTGCATCACTGGAGGAATGTGTCACACAACTATTGACTTCACTTACTAACAACTCTTTTATAACTCTAGTATCACAGACTTGCTTGTTTTCTTTACTTACACTAGCAGCCTTTTTCCATCTCTTCGACACTGCGTAAGTGTCTTCCAGCACTTCAAATGCTTGATATTCAGGTACTTGTACAGTGGGTTCTGTTAAAGTTGTGTTATGCATCAGAACTTTGCACTGGTCCTCTCTCTCTCTAATTAAAATAAAAACTTCCTGATTATGGTGATCAACATTCTCGGTTACTTCAATTGGAATTTTGCTATCATTTGTCAATTCTTTTACCATATTTTTCTCCACATTTTTAAGCTCTTTATTACGATAAGTTTCATTTGTGGTATTATTTTCTACATTAGAACCAACTGTGGCATTTTTGTTTAATTCTTTTGGCTGGGTATTTTTCCTTTTAGAATACTCCTCAGGAATGATTTTATTTCCTCCAATGAACTTTTGAATATTAGTGTCTTTAGATCTACTCTCTTCCAATGGACTGGACTTGTTGCTTCCTCCTGCCTGTGAAAGTACAAAATAATTAATTTAAAAAAAATTCTCAGCTTACACTCATCACCTATAATTATGATTATATTTTAACAAAGAAAGCACATGCATTAATGGCACATGCATTAACCCTTTGACTGTCGCAAGCCCCTTTCTGAAACTGTCATTCTATGTCGCAAAATTTTTTGGGGAAAAAAAAAAATTTCTTATGAAATGATAGAGAATCTTTTCTCAATGGTAATGACACCAAAAGTATGAAATTTGGTCGAAAACTCACAGAATTACGCTCCCGCGAAGTTAGCAGTCTCGGCAACGTATACGCATCGGGGATTTCACCGACTTTGAGCCCTGTTTTTGGCCATTTCTATTGTTCCAGTTGACCAAACTCATAGCTATTTCTTTAGAACTCTATTTTTTCTATCAGTTGAGTACAAGAACCCACCCATTTACAGATTTGAACTACCCAATAGTGGTCAGAAATTGGCAATTTGGCTAATTTTACACAAATTAAAAATGCCAATTTCAAAATAGGGTCCAGAATAAACAATGTAGACATTCTTGGCACTAAATTAACATATCCTCTGTTCATTAGTCACATCTCTAGGCCCCTCTTATATTACTATTGCTTTCTATTTTGTTTTTTATTCATACAAAAAATACAAAATTTACTGTTATGCGACCATGAAAACGAGAATACAGCGATAAATACTATACGAAAATACACCTCGAAGTCGGCATTTTAATCCAAAAAAACGGTCAGGTTTTTTAGATTCAGGTTTTCTAAGATTCTTTTGGTGCAAAATTGTAAATTTTTACATTAACATTAATGAAAAAATATATCTTTAAACGTATAAGAGAAATTTTTAGAAAGGACTTAATTTTAAATGAGTTCTTAATGCATGCTGTAGGATTTTTTTTATGTGGTGCACACTGGCCACACAGACCCATTCTCTCACATGTGGGCCTACCAGCTTTCTCCTGCTTGATTTGAAGCCGCTAGAATTTATGCGTATTAATACGTCCGAAAGACTGGCTCGTAAGATGTATATATACGCCCAAAACAGTCAAAGGGTTAATAAACTCTTCACTTATGAATGCTAAAACTTTATTCTTTTAGAGCCAATACATCACTTACCAATGAAAATTAGAACATGTTTAGTACCTATGTAAATATCACCTTTTTTTTTAACATTTCTCTCACCACCATGCCATTCTTCTCTGTTATGGACTAATAGGAGGCAGAGGGGGGGTACATTATTGCCAACTGCCCATTATTTCTGAATTATGAAATTTATGTATCGTGAAGATTGGTTCTGGAGATACTACTAGACAAAAAGAACACACTAACCTGTAAAACTGCAGTAAGGTTGTGAGAAAGGGAAAGTAAGAATGGGTGAGAGGGTGGGTGTGTGGGTGAGTGTGTGAGGGTTAGTGGATGTGAGTGTGAGGGAGGGTGGGTGGGGATGAAAGGGTAGCTTTCAGTAGTGGGTGTTTCAGTAGTGGGTATGAGAAGGTGAGGGGTGGGTGGTCAAGAAAGAGGGTATGATATGGGTAGGTATGAGAGAGGACATGAAGGTGTAGGTGTGAGGGTGGATGGGTTGGTGTGAGGGTGGATGGGTTGGTGTGAGGGTGGACAGGTTGGTGTGAGGGTGGATGGGTAGGTGTGAGAGACGGTGGGTAGGTGGTTGAATGTGGGTGGGTGGGTGAGTGGGTATTGGGGTACCCAGAAGAACTGTTAAAGACAACTAAATACTTTTAGTAGTTACAGACTATCTAGTTAGGAGAGTTGTAAAGTGTTGTAAATGACGACCCTCATGAAAATCTGTGTAGTCTACAGAAAGGGTAACAGATGAAGTCATGCCTGGATTGCATGCAATCTCTGTGGTAAATGGCAGAGGCGTCGCTAGAGCTGGTGTCACCCAGGGCGGAATCTCTGGTGTCACTCGGGGCAACATCTTTGGTGTCACCCCCATGAAATTCAAGGGGGGGGGGGTAAACTCCAGTTATGTCACTACTGCATGACCAGTGACAAATGTTTAGCAATGAGAACATTTAAGGGCCATAAACTGAACAGGAGAATACTTCTCAACTTTATTAATGATAAAATAATCGTAGTAATATTGAGGAAACATAAACTCAAATACCACTTTGAGTACAAACAACAGATCCCAAAAAAAAAAAAAAAAAAAAAAAAAAAAAAAAAAAAAAAAAAAAAAAAAAAAAAAAAAAAAAAAAAAGCAATATCAGGGACACACTAGTTCCAATTTGACCTTGAGTACAGGTAACATCTCAGTGAATCTGATCTTACATTTCCTTGCCTTCAATCCTGTAAAATCATCTATCACATCATCAAAATCAATGATTTTCCCTTTATAGGCTTATTTGTACTTTGTTAATATATAATAGGCTATATAGAAACGAAGGATTCTTCTCTTATGTTGGTGCAGCACTGTTTTGGGCATTAGTGTCACCTTCTTTAGAGGCTCTATGGTATCAACCCGTAAATGGTGTCACCCAGGGCGGCCCCCCCTTACGACGCCCCTGGTAAATGGTCCTATGGGTCATGCAGGAACTTTAAACCAGCGACCATGTTTAATATAAAATCAGAAAAAATGTTTTTGGGTCTGTCCAAATGATATACACCTGTATGAGGAAATTACAGCTAGATTAAAAAACAAGAACACCAATAAAATATCCTTCTTGAAAGATATGTCAACCTGGTATGACAGCTGGGAAAATCAAATGGGTGGGTTGGACGGGGCTGTCTTGGAAGAGAGTGCTTCAGTGGGTGCTAGTGTTGTCCAGGAGGACAGTGCACCAAATAGAGTTAGTGGCCCTGGTGATGAAACAAGTAAAGACAATGCTATTCAGTTTACAGAGGTACAAAATAGCGATACTGCTGGAGATGGAACAAAAGGGGATGATGCATCAGGAAATAGTGTTGACACATTACCAGCAAAAACTGGTGGAAGCACTAATGTCCATACAGAGGCAGTAGGTAGAGGGGAAACAGAAAAAAAAAATGCACCAGCAGCAAACTCAGCCACAAAAAATCCTAGCAAACAAAATTCCAATCCTATGCAAATTCTATGCCTTGGGTATCTGCAGGCATGGTATATCTGGTAAAACAGGTGGGACATGCACCTTTGACCATCCCAAAAAAAGCCACACCTACATGACAACAGAAGGGTGCAACTCCCCTTCCTGTAACTTACGTCACCCCGAAATGTGTCACTCGTCACTCCATGAAAGAAAATGCTACAACGTATACTGCCAGGCACATCATCTAAAGGAAACGAGAAGACACAGACCAGCCAGGCTATGGGAAACAAAAGAGGGAAGCCATAACCTTGGCAGAGAAAGAGGTTTTTTAGTGCCAGGAAGAAAAAAAAGACTAGCAAGAAATGACAGAAATCTTACACAAACTGAAAACACTTCTGGAGCAGAGGCACAGTCATTGGCCCCTACTTCATAACAACAGATAGTAGAGCCAGCAAAACCCCCTGTAAATTCCACCAATATAACGACACTTGTCTTTGCAAACATGCAGGATCTAAAGCCATCAACAAACAACAAAATTCCTTACATCAAGGTACTGCTCACAGAGTCTAATGCAATATTTGCAGCTTTCACAGAGACCCACATAAAGGATCCTTTTGACAACAATATATGGATCCCAGGTTATAACTTATTCAGATGTGACAGATGATTTTTATTCCCTGGAACATAGGCGATAATGTACACTTGGAAAATTCTAGAGGGATCTGTACCAAACTTGCACACGAAAATCACTCCCTATGAAAGCTAAAGACTCGACAAGAAGTGCAGCATTCCCCCAATGAAAAGTGAGGGTACCACGAGTACACTGAGAGACAACACAATAAGTGTAAAGGGCCCAAGACTGTTCAACTGCCTCCCAGCATACGTAAGGGAGATTACCAATAGACCCCTGGCTATCTTCAAGAAGGCACTGACAGGGACCTAAAGTCAGTACCTGACCAGCCGGGCTGTGGTTTGTACATCAGTCTGTGTGCAGCCAGCTGTAACAGCCTGGCTGATCAGACCCTGACCCACCATGAGGCCTGGTCTCAGACTGAGCCATGAGGGTGTTGACCCCCAAAACCCTCTCCAGGTATCCCGCCGAGGCAGGTGACCTAAATATAAAAATAAAAGTTTTTCATTTTAAATTTAGTACTTTATACAGGAGAAGGAGTTACTAGCTCCTTGTTCCAAGGATTATTTATTATTTTTTTTTTATTATTATCACTCTGGCCGATTCCCACCAATGCAGGGTGGCCCGAAAAAGAAAAACTTTCACCATCATTCACTCCATCACTGTCTTGCCAGAAGGGTGCTTTACACTACAGTTTTTAAACTGCAACATTAACACCCCTCCTTCAGAGTGCAGGCACTGTACTTCCCATTTCCAGGACTCAAGTCCGGCCTGCCGGTTTCCCTGAACCCCTTCATAAATGCTACTTTGCTCACACTCCAACAGCACGTCAAGTACTAAAAACCATTTGTCTCCATTCACTCCTATCAAACACGCTCACGCACGCCTGCTGGAAGTCCAAGCCCCTCGCACACAAAACCTCCTTTACCCCCTCCCTCCAACCTTTCCTAGGCCGACCCCTACCCCGCCTTCCTTCCACTACAGACTGATACACTCTTGAAGTCATTCTGTTTCGCTCCATTCTCTCTACATGTCCGAACCACCTCAACAACCCTTCCTCAGCCCTCTGGACAACAGTTTTGGTAATCCCGCACCTCCTCCTAACTTCCAAACTACGAATTCTCTGCATTATATTCACACCACACATTGCCCTCAGAATGTCATCTCCACTGCCTCCAGCCTTCTCCTCGCTGCAACATTCATCACCCATGCTTCACACCCATATAAGAGTGTTGGTAAAACTATACTCTCATACATTCCCCTCTTTGCCTCCAAGGACAAAGTTCTTTGTCTCCACAGACTCCTAAGTGCACCACTCACCCTTTTCCCCTCATCAATTCTA